ACATTTATACCTTTTTTTAAGTCTTTTCGTGCATCGATTCTCACATTATGAAAATATCTGAATCTAAAGAGATAATAACAAGCTCACATATTTTACTAAAGTCATCAATGAATTACCATTTATCTGATTTTGAATTTTTTTTTCGCTTTCCACGATCTTATATTTTTTTCAATATTATGGCATGGAAAGTAATAAACTCTGCAACCTATAAGTCTTAAATTTGCTCAATCACTTGAAATAACTGCTATTAGACAGTGCAGAGGTGGTAGTGGTACCTTTACCCTTAAAGAATTTTTGAAAAGTCCAATTCGTCTAATGAAGTTTTCTATGTAAAAGGGTCGGAACCCCGATTTGAAATGTAATAAAAAGTGTATTTTTTTTGTGTGTAACATACATAGAATTTTTGATAGCTTGCAATGCCTATTAGACCCTTGGAACTCTTGAACACCCACTTTCCGGTCTAACTTGAAAACAAGGAATTTAAAACCCCCTCCTTTATCCAGACTTGAGTGAGGTCAATTACTGAACTGGGTACCACTCATAGTTTGTTGAGTGCAAAGGGAATTTATCGATATCACGTTTTTTTCCCCTAAATTGAATTGAATAAAAATACCTAAACAATTACTGATTAAATATCCAAAGATAAATAATGTGCGCTTATCTAGCTTGAATAACTTCGACAGCGAAGCAAGTCTGTGGGGTTAGAGCTTATTTAAATATAGTTGTTCGAAGCAAAGCCACTAGCATCGTATTAAAAAAGATGTTTCATTTGACAAAAATTGAACTGATATTTGCGATTCGTGATATCATAATAATATTATTCGAGAAAAATATTTCTGATTATATAGGGTGTCCATAAAGTCTCAAAAATTTTTTCAAATTGCAATTTTCGGTATCATACATAGCAATAGTAGTTTGAAATGGTTTATAGACGTCGTTTACTACCCTCGTCACTAGGAGTAGAGCCAAGGATTTTGAGGGTCGAATCCCTTCGATCGAAATGTAAAAAAGGGACTTTACAGGTCAATTCTCATAACTTGAAACGGTTTTCAAACCTTCAAGATTCATGAAAACTATGAATATATCTAGCTACTTCTATATCGCTATTTGTCTCTAAATTAATTGAAAACAATTCCTTCAAATCATAAGAATAGAAACCAAGGCGAATCCTCACCACTACCCTACTTAAAAGTTTGTTTGAAAAGATAAAAATCCTTTTCAGCACAGGGCAATTATTATATGCAGTTTAATTCATGTGTTTAGCAATCAAGAATAAAGTTTTTGTTTGAACAAAATTCCTCACTACTATGTCACTTAATAGGTTCGTTTGAAAAGACCAAAATTTTTTTTCAGCTCGGCATAATTTTCTGAAATGGACAATGGACAAGTATTTTTTTATTCATTCGTTTATCTCACAAAAATGATGTTTCAATTTGAACAATAATTAAACAGATATTTGAAATCAGTAATATCGTAATACTCTTATGCTACCAAATAGAATTATTATTAGAGAAATATAATTCTGAAATATATAGGGTGTCCATAAGTCTTGAAATTATTTAAATTGCCAAGGAAATTTATCGATACCATTTATATTCGTACATATACCATATATATATATATACCATATATATTCGTAAAAATACTAAAACAATGATTAAAAAACAACAGTAAGTAAGATGATATATGATTGAGAACTGACTTCATAACAAAACAAAATTGAAATTGTGAAGAAACGTTATGGACACCCTGTATATCATTCATTATGCAGCGTCAATCCTTCCTCCAAAGAACCAACTGATATAGATGAAATTGCGAGGTTTTATAGATTGGATAACTTTGACAGCGAAGTTAGTCTGTGGAGAGATATTGTTAGATATCGGTAACTGGCCTTGTTCGAAGCAAAAGGCATAAGTACGAGGTGCGGCTAAAATGAAACCGGACTGATGTCACAGATTGCGCAACACAATTAACCATCGGTAATCAACACTTTTGCAGTGTAGCAGCTGTTTTGACACAATATCGCAATTATTTTTCCTCTCGGGATCCATAAGCGAATGTGATAAATTTCTTGTTGAAAAAAAATGCTGTGCAAGGTCTGATTGAGTTTTTTGGCGATAGGGGGTTCAATTGCAGAATGACGATTGAGCAAAGAAGCGTAAGCGTTATATTGAAACAAAAATGTCCTTCCCCCTTCCCACAAAAAAAGATTTGGAGGGCTAGCAAGATATATTTAAAATCATCAAATTAAACACTAGTTTACAGCTTTTAGACTAAAAGTCCATCAAGACCAATTCCTTTGAAAAACAAAAAAATATTTCATACAAATTCCTTAGTACAAGTTATACAAATAATTGAAAGTGAAAAAAGTGCAATAAATAAATAATCAATTATACTAAATGAAGTAAAATATAAAAAATAGCAACTGAAAAATTTATTTCAAAATAGCTATTGATATGCAAGACATATTTTCTCAATTGCTCCATACGAACCCCCAGAGTTGGAAGAGAAACCTAGAGATTTCACAAGTTAATTCGTAAGTATGTTGATATTTGTCTGTATGTCTGTTAGATACACGCGATATCTCAGGAAAGCGAAATTCAATTTGCCCCAAATTTTGCATGTGCATTCATCATATCTCGGACCAGAAGCCTATTGATTCTGGGAGAATTATGTCGTATAATTAGTGAGTTATTATTTAATTAGTGATGGGACACAAGGTGTCACTATGGAGTAAGAGCGCCGTTTTGGGGGATCCCCTACCTTTCGATCGATAAGTTTTCGGTCTCTGACCGATATTCTCGTTTAAATATTGAATATTTTTTAATACAAAGCAGCAAATACATCCAAGTCATTAAATGAAATAATTTTAGTTTACTCCGGGACATTAATTAGTAGGTAACAATGTGTTATTGTGGGGCTCCGTAAATAATAATCAACTTCTTCTCAGGCTCCATAAGAACAAAAGTTTGAGAACCCTTGATTTAAGGTACTATTTATCGAAGGGCCCAAATCTTGCCCACTGATTTAAACGAAGTGGTGGGCATCAGATTCAACCTGTGTTACTAACATTTGAATTAAGATGATTGACATGTTGACAACGAATCGGGGGAGATTGAAAGGGCGGGGTTCAGGGTTGTCCAAAACGAATCGAATATTCGAAATTATTCGAATATCAAAGTATTCGAATACCTTTTCGGCTCATTTCCGAATAATTACGAATAGTAGTCACTTTTCGCCGTAAACACCGTGTTTCGTTTTACCGGAATCTTCAAACGACTTTTTACGCTTTCTCGCGTATTGTAAAGACGATGAAATAGAGTCGGCATTTTGATTGTTTATATTCAGCGCGAATGTACGTCCCATAGTGTTGCGACACATTTGCACGTTTGCGTTGGTGAACATTGCCGACATTCGTCTTTTAATTCACAAAATCACTTCCATTAGTCGAAAATCGACAATCACCGTATTTCCCGGCTAGTAAGTCGCTTTTGCTTTTCTAGACCCAATTTTGGCTTGATTTTTTGGGGGGTGGGGCGCCTTATTGAGAAAGCATGTTTATTTTATTTCTATGTGGCCTGCTTATTTTTCGCATTAGTCTTCTCAAGCATAATTTGTGTTGACCTTATATTTGGTTCTGGGTCTGCCAATCATGATATTTAATCGTAGGCCGGTTATCGTTACTTAAAAGAGAAAACACGGCCACCGCCACCCAGATAAAGTAAGTGATTTATGACCCTTTGGTTTTGCCGATTCAGCAGAAAATGACAGGGACATGAAACACAGCTGTGAAATAACCCGTGGACGTACCGTGTGGAACTTATCACATTATTATTAGCGCATATTAGCATAACTGAACAACAGGGAACAATTTATCTCCCCGTCTTCTTGGAGGCCTATATGGAAAACCCCCTTTTTTTGAGTGCTAAAAATATACATCGTCCTATTTGCCAGGTAGACTTATTAGGCGGGAAATACGGTATTTATAGCCGTAATTGTTACGATATCCAATAAATTGTCACAAGTTTGGAAACAAGTTAATTTATTAGAAAAATACTTTCACCCGCTTTCTGGCAAATAATTTTGATAATGATGGTCAAAAGTATCGATAATGAAAGTATTAATACCAAATACCACGGGTATTTGTGGGCATGAAATGTGTGGTAAACTGCCCAATTATAATTAATTTCGGATTCGTATTTACAAAATATTAAAACTATTATAACTCAAAAATACAACGGCGATTTGTGGACTTGAATGTGTAATAAAGTATAAATTATTTTTCCGACTTGTGACAATTTTTTCGTGAGTACGAAAATAAGAATCAAAAATTAATTATATTCGGGCACAATGTCACGGCATTCTGTGGACATAAATTGTGAGGCAAACTCGCGATTGATATTAATTTTTGATTCCTATTTTCTTATTTACAAAATACAACCGTGATCTGTGGACATTGAATGTGTGGTAAACTACCCAATTATAAATAGTTTTCGTATTTATAAAATAATAAAAGTATTATTACACAAACATACAACGGCGATCTGCGGACTTAAAATGTGTGGTAAAGTTCCCGAATATAATTACTTTTTGATTCGTATTTTTGTACGCACGAAAAAATTGTCACAAGTCTGAAAAAGAACTCATACTTTATCCCGCTTTTTGACAAATAATTTGGATAATGGTTGGTATATAAAAGTATGGGCGTTTTACTAGGATGATTTTGTGTTGCGCAAGCATTCAAATCCATCTCCGATACCACTATTTAAAATGCCTTGTCGTATTATTTTAATTCTGTTAATTAACACAACTCATGTTATATAAAATATATATCGCAATAATCTGCAAACATGAAATGCCTGGTAATATAGCCAGGTTGTAAATAGAAGTTTTCCCATTGTTTATTGTATGAAAATTCCTTCATACACTTAGATTCTATTACTGGATTTTAATTTCGAAGTATTCGAAATTTCATATTCGAAAATAATAATTTCGAATGTATTCGAAATAGTGAACTATTCGGTATTGGCCATCCCTGGCGGGGTTTTTGGCTCTCCATATGTGTGTGTACCAATATGGAGAATTTTTTTTCCTATTTTACATGGAGTTGTGTAAAGGGACGGAAGTCTATGGCAGGGGTTATATCCACTTGGCAGTCCCCTTTACAGTCCCCGAACTCGTAATAAAGGAAATCCGAATGAAATTATGGCCTAACATTAACTGGTACACATACTACGAGAATACCAGGATTTCTACTCGGTGGGCATAGCTTGTATTGACGAATAGGCATCGTTCGTTTCAGTTTGATTGGCAGTTCCAGTAGTTGAGTCTGTTTGTTGGTTAGAAAGAGCGGAATCTAGCTTGTGAATATTTTGCATTTGATCACTTTTTGCTCCATTCAGCTGACTTATTAAGTTTAAAAATGTAGGGGGTAACGTACTATTTTGTTGAATCGTTGACTCTGTTACGTAGTTTGGCAAATTTAAATTTTGCTGACTCATACTTGGATAATTTTGCTGACTCATGTAATTGTTTTCATGTGTCATGTTCGCAATTTGCTGACTCATATTTTGAAGCAGCATGTTTTGCGAATTCACAGAATCTGGCAACCCTGGTACAGTTTGATGACTCATCATTCCATACGAATTGAATTGATGTGTCGTGTTTGAATCTGCTAAGGAGGAAATCTCAATTGCAGAGTTTTGCTGTGTGACCGTTGGAAAACTAGAATTAGAATCTGTATCCATAGCAACACTCTCATGGTTCATTGCACCCATGTTGCTGCCATCTTGTAGAGGAGTTGAAACACCTTGCTGACCATTCATAGAATTTTCAGAGTTTAGTAAGTTGGATAATGACGAATTGACCGCGGAATTCTGCTGACTCGGAAAAGTATTTTGCTGCATCATATTTAAATTTCGCTGACTCATGGCTGCATTTAGCTGATTCGCTCCTGGAACAAGCTGATTCATCATTAAATTTTGCTGAGTAAGGATAGATGAGATTAGCGGATTCTGATTGGACGCTTGTTGGTCTATAGACGACTGTCGACTAATAGTTGAATAATTTTTCGGATTCATCATTGAATTCTTCTGAGTCATGTCTAAATTTTGCAGATTCGTTAGTGAATTTTGCGGAGTCAGTTGAAGATTTTGTCCGATTGAAGAATTTTGTTGCATCTGTGTTAAATTTGGTAAAATTGGCGTAGTCATATTCTGCGGGTTTCTCAAAGATGCCGAGTCATCTGATTGTCCAGCAATCATGCTCAGTAAGTTACTTGGTTGCGGAAACGACTGGTAATCTCCTATTTGAGGATACGGCGGTCTGATTGGTTGTTGAGGCAAATAGGGATATCTGATTGGTTGATTTGTGTCAGTGTTTCGACGAAGCAAAGAGTTGAATGCGGCCTTGATCAGTTGAGATTCATGCTCTTTAGATGTTATCACCTGAATAGAAAACAAAATTGAAATTTTGGAAAACAAAAAGCAGCAACTGGTATCTAGCAATATGTAAGAAGCTAATATTATATGGAAGGAACAGATATCTTTTCGTCGGGATTTTTATGTGAACACACATATCACATAAACAAATAGCACTTAGAAATATAATATTTTCAGCTGATGCGAACAACTTATGCGCACTTTGTGTGTGATCTCATAAACTTAGCATTTATTATGTGAACACGCCTGGCACATAAACAAATTGCACACAGAAAAACCCATGAAACTTTTAGCTAACGTAAACAACTCACGTGCCAGTTGTGTGTGATCTCATGAACCTATTATTATGAGCACATTTTATGTGAACACACGTCAAACAAACACATCACATGAAGAAAGTATCAGTGATAACCCTAGCTACTGAGAACTACTTGTGTGAACACATATCACATCATTTTACCTGTCCTCCAGGTGTTCTCACAAGGGAGGGGGATTTCCCTTCATCAACTTTATGAGATTTAAGCGCAAATATCCTTCCCGTAGTTGTCCCAATATACATTCCCTTGGTGCCTTGTATCATATAGAACGAATCGCCAGCTGCAACAAGGGGTTTTGTGCTTGGACCTACAGCCGATTGAGTTAGAGGAATATCTGAAATAAACAAAGAGAGTAATGATCAAACTGGATTTATACAGTGATACTCGATGGCCGAAATAACCCGATCAAGATTGTTGTGCACAAATTTATTCGAGGATCAAAACTTCTTTTGCCATAAGAAAATGGCAATTATTGCATGAACCACCCTGAGGCATCAAGGAGTTCAGGGATCTTCTTGCACATAACTATCTCCCCAGCATTCGACACTGCGAACTCACATAGGGGTAATCAGAGGAGCTGTGACCAAGCATATTCTCAACACTTAGCATGGTACATCACACTGCCAAGTCTAATAATTAGTCATATAATCAGCTCTCCTTTCTACATGGAAAAAGGCGCTCCCGAAGTATGTGTACCAAGATGTCGCACAACTTGAACCCTAACCTGGTACACATACTATGTTCAGGTTGTGCGCCAACTTGGTACACATACTCTTGAAGCGCCAAAAAATATGTAAAAATTTTATGCTAGATACCTGTTGTGGCGATAGTTTTTCGCACATTGATTCCTGCTCTTTGTAGATGAGCAATGATTTGAGAATCTGTAGGGGCCTGTAATAGAAGAAATCATGAAAGCATTTCTTGTGAAAAACTAGGACTCATACAAGTACACTAGTCACAGGGCTGTGGACTCTAGAAAAATCAACAATTGTCGGAATACTGTGGTATAAAAGTCTTCTTTGACAGACTGTTAGAAATGCTTAGAAGACTTTTCGTATTTAAATACCAACTTCTTTTATAATCATTGAACGTCTGAACGCTTAATAAATTGTTAACATATTTACAAAAAAATTCGTTCCGCAAGGACACCATTCAAAATTGGCACTTCTCTGCAAGCCGCACAATTTTTCCTTGTGGGCCACATTTGACACGCAGGCTGCATGTTGCACACCCCTGGTTTAAAGTAATCTTTAATGTCATGTAACTTACCGCCGAACCGGCAACTCTCATTGGATATGGCGTCGACTGAATTGGACGGACATTTGCAACAGGTCTGCCACTAGCTGGTGTTGTAGAGCTGCGAATAAAGAATAAAGTGTAATAAACGGAAATTAGATGGAATGGTTGCGGGTCGAAACCCCCCCTTTTTGAAATGTAAAAAAAATAAATTCATTTTTCTGTATCATAGATAGGCATTTTCCGTAGCTTGAAATGCTTTTTAGACCCCAAGACTACTAAAAACACGCGTATTCCAGCGTTCGATTGGACCCGCTAGCTGTTTCAATCCAACTTGGCGAAGAAAAATTTCCAAACCCCCCCCCCCCCCTTTGAAAATTTTTGGCTACGTCCCTGTACTGCTTGTAGACACTGTATGTACATACATCGCACATCCTCCAAACCATTGATTCCTAAAGTGGGGTTCGCGGACGCTTAGGGGGAAGTAAAACATGCTTTACACAAAAAATTCCTCAGATGCTTGTTTTCTGGTGCGAGAGTTGTAATGGCCCAAACAGAACCGCAAATATATGAACAGGTGGAAGCTATTGCACCCATCACATTAAACTGTACTAATGACATGCAATAAATCAATGCTCGATATAACATGTTCCTATTCTGAATTTTTAGTTGACCACAAGTCCTCAAAAAAATTGCAGGGGGACGGACGGACCGTTACGCAAAATTTTTCAAAAAGTTTTGAGAACCACTGCTTCAATATTTTGGTTCCAATATTACTAACATTTCATCACTATTTCGTAGTTTTGAAAAGAAAAAGTTGAGTCGCCGTCGAATTTGTAATTGATCCGTGATTCACGTAATCGCTCACAGCAGCAATCACTTACCTCTGGGCAAAAATACTTTTTGATCCGGCTTTAGTTTTCCGAGGATAGCCAGCAGCTGCGTAGAAACTGACATACGAGGGCCGACTGTAGTTGGTTGATGAGGCAGCTCTTTTTTCTTGCTCATAACTAGAATATAGTATAGTGGATTAATTACCGGGTTTTTAAACTGGGGGCTACTTCCCCGTAGGGGCATGGAACATTTTTTAGGTGTTTGAATCATAAAGTGGCATCCACAAAAACTACAAGCATTTGGGTAAATCTTTGCATTTATTTCTGTGTTTTGACCTTTTTTTATTCGAATGTGGTACAGAAATATGGAAATGTGTCACTCGTTTTTTTTTCATCGCAATCATTTAAACCAGGGGTGTGCAACAGGCGGCGCGCAGGCCACAATCCAGCCCGCCAAGACATTTAGTGCGGCCCGTGTTAATACTCAAATCTTACCTATCAAGCATAAATCCCAATCCGACAGTTTTTGTTAAAAAGTCGCTCACATGGGTGAATTCATAACGATTTTTACTATTGTCACTGCGTCAAATCTTTCGCCGCTTTGCCTGTTGTTTGCTGGGTTTATTACTGCAAAGCTAAGCAATAACTGCATTCTTTTTCGTGCCTTTCCCCCATTAAAAAACTGAATGTCTGAACACATCCTGATTTTAACCTACCCTTTCTGAGCAGCTCTTTTCTCTGCTTTGGTCAGTCTTGAACCTTTGCAGTCCATGAGAAGGGATTCATGGTGAAACGGCTTCTTTGTGAACCACTGACCGTATGTCTGTAAGAAAATATGGCAAGTTGTAAAACGAGATAGCGATCGCCGACTTATTGATCTTCCAAAATAAATGTCCAATAGACAGACAAATACCTATCAACATACTTATCGATCAAGATTGATAAGTAATAATCTTAGGTGACAGTATATTTGACTTAGGATAGGATTTTCCTATTTATCCCAGGGAGAGGAAGAATATTGATAAGACAGCTTAACCCTAATGGCGTACCACGGCCTCTTTTGCAATTACCAGCCCATCTTCAGGCAGCCCAGTTTTAGATCGCGACCCATAAGTTGGGAAACCAGAGGTTCTCAAACTTTTGATATTATGGAGCGCGTGGAGAGGATGACTATCATTTATGGAGCCACACAATGAATTTATGAAACATCAAACGGTTCTAGTTGGCATTATTCAATTCACCTTGTTACAAGGCCATTGCGATTATGTTACGTTGCTTACTAAAAATTATATCATTCGAAACATCATGTTGAAATGAATATGATGAAAGGAAGTCTCCCACAACATGCAGTAAATATGGAGTCCCACTTCAAAAGGTAATGAACTAAACTTTCGTCGAAACCTATGGGGCATTAGGCCACTGGGCTAGAGGTAAGCCCAGAAATTCCAGCTCGGCCTGACCCAGGCCCGTGGGTATCAAACCTGACCCAAGCCCGAAGCAAACCTGAAATTTCAGTTCTTTGAATTGTGGTTGCAAGAGTTTAGTAGAGTATGTGTGGTGTTAATGTTTTTCAGACCACAGTCTCTCATGGCCAAACATGGCCGAAACGGCTCATTTGAAAAAAAAAAGTCAGCAATAGAGAAGCCCGACCTGACTGTAATGATTAACATTTCAGGCCGAGTTTCAGGTCGGGTCGAGATCGGGGTTCAGATCTTAGCTCTACGCTGGGCTGGATTCCAGGGATATCAATCTGATCCAAAATAAAAACAAAGTTATAAACACATTCACCTTGCAAGAGCTAACTAACGTCATATCACTGCATTCTTTCTCACATTCAGACAGATCAACAAAGGGTCAATCTTCGTCATCGTAGACAAGTAGTTTCGTGATGGCCTGTCGTTCAAGACTCTGAATCGGATTCAGTTCGTCGACAACGCGATCTGGAATTAGAATGATGTTGTGATTTTCAATCTTGTTGTATTGTCTATATCAGTGCCCGACAAACGTTATCTGTTGCAGTGGAGCTATAGCCACGAAATTCGTTTGTACAAAAGTAGGGACGAATTTTACCTGTCCAAAGCCTCCACAAAACTCATGCATAATATTTGTATAAATTATATTAATGGTTAAATCCCGTAACAAATACATGTTAGAATTAGATTACCGCATAATGGATAGAGAGGGTACACATGGAAAGGCTGATATTCTGACTACAGCAGGGGCGGCGTGTCTGAAAGGCAGCCGCCCTAGGCAGCCTGTTGTAAGGGTGAGTTTGTTGCTCAATTTGCCTCAAAAAAGACAGTCGTTCTCAACCTTTTACTGACCGCGTACCACTTTACGGTTTTTTACTATGGCCGCGTACCACCGACAAAGCCACTTTTGTGGCGTGAGCAAAAAGACACAAGAAACATGCTATGGAAGTATTTTATAATGTGGCACTACATCCCTTGTGGCGTAACACGCAAAACGGACAAAAACATGCCCATATCGCTTCATTTAAGGTGGGCAATAGCGGGCGAGAGCGATCTCTACAGAAAAGGACTGGTAGCGTGTCAGCGCTATGGACGTTTCCCCGAACATTGATCCCGGAAAAAATTATCCCTATACTTTACTATAGCAAACTTTATACTTATTCTGAGAGTGTTTTGATGTGTTGGCGCATATAAACTGGTTTACGTGTTTGAAACCATCATATGTATTGAAAGTGTTCAACCATGTGCCGTTTGTAGGTACTGATATATATAGCTAAGTTTAGCCTTGTCTATCGCAGCATTTGCGAGATTCATTTTCAATTACTGCAACTAAATTAAAGCTCCGCGGAAGACATTATGACAATTAAGTTAATTAATTCACAAGTATTTTCTTGAAACACAACTGAAAACTGACAAATATCACTCAAAACTACAAAAACGAGGCAATGTTTGCAACCATGCTTGAATATCTGTTTGGGCGACAGAATTGTCTGAGCGACTGGTTGCAGAAATTGCAATTGTTACCTGTTGCATCATTATTGACTCATTGCTGATTGGTTATAGTTACGGAAATAAACAAGGAAACTGAAGCTTGGGAAAACATCCATAAACGCTCAGCGAATACATACAGTAAGGAAGATAAAGTGTTGCCGGCATATTTTAACCAACTGAAATGTTAATTGTTGCAATAATTCAAATCAGCTCGCGCACCACTTGAAAAGCTCCCGCGTACCACTAGTGGTACCACAGGTTGAGAGCCGCTGATTTAGATGAAGAACTAATAAAATAATAAAGGGTAATAAATGACTAAAGAAGCAATGGCGCATAACATAACAATATCATTCTTCAGCCAGTTTTCTTTGAGACAAAGTAAAAGTTGAAACAACCAGACCTAAGATAATTTTAAGAGAAAATTCAATAAGTTATTGAACAACAAAAAGACTAATGCACAGTTGTTAAAAGTCATTGCGAATTGAAATTATTGGGATGTTAAATCAAGCATTATGTTAACAGTGGTTGCATTTGATTTCTATCAGTAATATTTTCAGTTGTGGGAATGGAACACATCCTGATTTTAACCTACCCTTTCTGAGCAGCTCTTTTCTCTGCTTTTGTCAGCCTGGAACCTTTGCAGTCCATGAAAAGGGATTCATGGTGAAACGGCTTCTTTGTGAACCATTGACCGTATGTCTGTAAGAAAATATGGCAAGTTGTAAAACAAGATAGCGATCGGAGACCGCAGATTTATCGATCTTCCAGAAAAAAAAAAGTAATTAATCAATTACTCGCTAATTATGAAAATAAAAAAATACCTTAATTATTAACTCGCTAATTATACGACATAATTCATCCAAAATCACTAGGCTACTGGTCCGAGATATGATGAATGCACATGCGAAATTTCGAGCAGATTCAACCTCGCTTCTCATGAGATATCGCGTAAATACGAAAGAGTCTAACAGACAGACAAATACCTAATAACATACTTACCGATCAAGATTGATAAGTAATAATCTTAGATGACAGTATATTTGACTTAGGATAGGATTTTCATATTTATCACAGGGAGAGGAAGAATATTGATAAGACAGCTTATTAACCCTAATGGCGCACCACGGCCTCTTTTGCAATTACCAGCCCATCTTCAGGCGGTCCAGTTTTGGATCGCGACCCATAGGTTGGGAAACCAGAGATTCTCAAACTTTTGATATTATGGAGCCTGTGGAGAGGATGACTATCATTTATGGAGCCACACAATGAATTTATGAACCATCAACGGTTCTAGTTGGCATTATTCAATTCACCTTGTTAGCAAGGCCATTGCGATTATGTTACGTGGCTTACTAAAAATTATATCATTCGAAACATCATGTTGAAACGGATATGATGAAAGGAAGTATTCCACAATATGTAGTAAATATGGAGTCTCACTTCAAATGGTAATGAACTAAACTTCCGTGAAACCCACGGGGCATTATGCCGCTGGGCTAGAGGTAAGCCCAGATATTCCAGCTCAGCCTGACCCAGCCCGAAGCAAACCTGAAATTTCATATTTTAGTAAGTTCTTTGAATTGTGGTTGCAAGAGTTTAGTACAGTATGTATGGTGTTAATTTTTTTCAGACCACAGTCTCTCGTGGCCAAAACATGGCCGAACGGCTCATTTTAAAAAAAAGGTAGCAATAGAGAAGCCCGACCTGAACATAATGATTAACATTTCAGGCCGAGTTTCAGGTCGGGTCGAGATCGGGCTTCAGATCTTAGCTCTATGCTGGGCTGGATTTCAGGGATATCGTTCTGATCCGAAATAAAAACAAAGAAAATAAACATATTCACCTTGCAAGCGCTAACTAACGTCATATCACTGCATTCTTTCTCACATTCAGACAAATCAACAAATGGTCGATCTTCGTCGTCGTAGACAAGTAGTTTCGTGATGTCCTGTCGTTCGAGACTCTGAATCGGATTCAGTTTGTCGACAGCGCGATCTGAAATTAGAATGATGTTGTGATTTTCAATCTTGTTGTATCAGTGCCCGACAAACTTTATCTGTTGGAGTGGAACCATAGCCATGAAATTTGTTTGTACAAAAGTTGGGACGAATTTTACCTGTCCAAAGCCTCCACAAAACTCGTGCATAATAATTGTATAAATTATAATAATGGTTAAATCCCATAACAAATACATGTTAGAATTAGATAACCGCATAATGGATAGAAAGGGTACACATGTAAAGGCTGATATTCTGACTACGACAGGGGTGTGTCTGAAAGGCAGCCGCCCTAGGCAGCCTGTTGTAAGGGTGAGTTTGTTGCTCAATTTGCCTCAAAAAAGACTAGTTAACAATAAGATACAAATGACGGATAGTAAGGTAAAATTATTTTTTATTCAAAAACACGTTGGAAATAGGTGGATGGAACATAAATATCCAAAATAAAGAAATGTAAATATCCAAAATAAGGCAGGAAAAATCAAATCTAACAAATATTTTTTTTTTTAATTAGCTTCACGCCTCCTCGAAATATTGACTATGCCCCACCGTTCGTGAAACACTGATCTACAGCCTGTACTACAAACTCACCAGACATTTCCTGCTTTAAGATCTGCCGATCATAAATCTTCTTTTCCATGAACTGATCGCATATATCAACCTGAAAGAAGAAAAACTTCGGTTAGACACATAAACACAATATTGGCTTCTTTGCCCAATTAAGGTCGTGACCCCAAAGCGAATTTTAGAGGTCGCAAAAGTTAACCAATTTCACACAAAGTACTATATCTATTGTGCCGTTTTAGAAGGCAGAAAAGCGACACGCTTGCATAACTATGTCGACTTTGATCGTAAGACCTGGGAAGCGGCACACTTGCATCGTGATGCCAATTTATTAGGGGTTGTGGAAAATCCTAATATATTGAAAGGGGTTGCTAGCTTACTGATTTGAAAAGAATTTAGATGACATAGATAAATTCGAGTCTTCGTAATGGTGTCTCGAACCCCTTCAGTACCAGTGGCTTTTTAATTAGTTTCAATATATCAACATTCATAATTACTCACCTATATATGAGACATTTCTTCTTCTGTCCGTACCGATATACATGGGTTCCAGGATATATCGAACACAACAACACGATTCGCTCCAGTGAGATTAATTCCCAGGCAGACAGCTCTAAAAAGTTAGAAAATAAATTTGTAAAGTGACAACTCAAGTGCATATGGATTCATTAAAGTTGAGACATGGAATTAGTTAGCAAATTATTCCTTCCAGATGCATGGACTTGATGGTGAAAAAAATAACCAGTCACAGGGTGGGAGAACCATAATACACAATGACAAAATGGCCAGAGAAGCAGATGAGTGAAAATACAAATTCCAGAGATTTAATTCTTGGAGTTGATTTGGGTGCAGCAGTATTGGCATGTATGTATGTATGTTTATTTGCCTCAAAAATGTAACAGTATCTGCATAATAAAAAAACAGTAAAACAGAGACAAGATACAAGTTCAGGAACTTCCTGGCCTATGACACAGATGTGCGACATGTACCCTCAACAATTATAACAGCAGTTTGGCCGTTTGGGACTGCTGCGTTATACTAGGACAACAGACATAAAATAGACTACAGACATGAAATTGACTATACAAATAAAGCACTTGTACATTACACAATACAAAGAGGTACGGCACAACGTCGATACCGCCACCGGTATGTACAATAGTCAGTTTATGGCACGTCCATGTCCCAGGCTCCGGTGTGAAAGGATGGAGATAGGGTATGGGTCGCTAAATTGATCTGCTTTTACACTGAATCTCACGAAACACAGAGAGATTTGTTCGAGATATTTGTGTTAGGGGTTATTCCGACTATGCTGGGTACGGTACCGGTAAATGATTTGATAGTCAGTTATTTTATTTCGCAGAGCTAGGATATACTGGTATTGGAAGCAAAATGAAAAAAAACGCAGTAAATAATAACAAATCTAATTTTGAAAATTTCAGACACCCTGAGATAAAATACCGGTACCTACATTTAAAAATAAGCCCATGGTACCGCGTACCGGTATATATTTTAGGGTCAGCTCAGAATTTCACCTCTTTCAGACGCGGTCGGCTTCGTACGTAATTTCCCTTTAAAAGTATGCATAGTTCCTTTAGTCAATTAAGATTCCTGTTCTACTTCCATCACAAAAACCCATTCAATGTGATATTTTTTTTTTTTTTTTTTTTTTTTTTTTTTTTTTTTTTTTTTGCCAAATTCAATTCCAGAGTCAATATGGAATTATTTAATTATGTTTTTGAAGCCAATTAAATTTTCAGTTTTTGTTTTATATAATTTTATTTTTTTTGTTTTTTTGGAAACCAATTGCATGTATTGCGTTCCAATTACGGTAATTGAGGAAAATTAAAACAGTTGGATAAACAATTATTAATACATATCAAACCCAGTGATGATAATCCATTTTTCGTCATATATCCGTTTGTATTGAAGATTGTCCATATTTCGTCATAAATATAGCATTTTTATGTACATATATAATTAATTATTTTATATTAGCATGGAAAAAGAGAAGGTTTCAAAAAATTAGACAGAAAATTCAAAAACCTATCATGCTACTAGATTTTCATTTAATCTGTCTATGTTATGCAATCATTTATATAGTCAAACCTCCTAAATCAAGACAATCTCAATTTCTTCAACTCATTATCGATTTTTGTAGTACATCATCAACAATTTCGTCAGATAATATTCTTTGCCTATCAAAATCTGACATTAATCTGATTACACCCAGGAGTTTGCATTTAAAAATAGCTCGCAAGTTACATTGCATTTGGAATACATCATCATATTTGACACTATTCCTGAACTCCCATATGGCTGATTTTCCACATTGAATGATTAATGATACCACTTCACTATGAATATTATTAGCAATAATTATGTCACAATTGATTTCCCTTACATTGCACCACTGCCAAAAGTCAATTATCCAATCACAATAACAAAATAAATGTATACAGGTTTCTTCATTTTCATTACAAAATACACATTGTCCATTCTCGTCATCAAACCAATATTTTAATTTGTCACCTGTAGGCAGGCCATTATTCAAGATTTTCTTAGAATTTAGAAACTTAGAATTTTATATTTATTTGAGAGTTTATATTGCCAAATATTTGACCAGTCTATAGGAATATTCAAATTTAATTTTTGTGTAATGTACATATCATGCCGTGTAGCAATTTCTGTGATTTTCCTTATTTTCAATAAACTACTTATTTTTTTGGTGGATAAATTGGAGTTCATATATCTATCGATTCCAAGTCTGTTTTCGGGTAAATTATGATTTCTCGATAGAATTTCTTTCCAGCTAATAGGTAGATTGCCCCAAACCTGTTGGATTTCACTAGAGCATCTATTTAAATAAAAGAGCTTTCTTCTGTGATCCCCAATTTGATCAATAGAATATATTCTATTTGTTAAATAATGCACAGTGTTATCCACAATATCAGCCACAGAAATGACTTTTGCTTGATCCATTTGGACGAAAATCTAAATTTTGCTCTGAGATTAAGGGATTGTACCATAAAATTTCATTTTTAACCTCTGTAATATTAAAGGGATGATTTCTCTCCAACTTAATATCCTTGAATGAATTGATAATGGCGGTATAAAAATTAGGTATGGTAGTTACTTTGTCAAATTGGACTTTCAAATACAGACATTCCAAATTATCTTTGGACAAAATATTACAATAATTATTAATAAAATAATTGGCTCTTTTACTCCATGGCCTACTCTCGTTTTTGAGGATTTTAAAAATCCATTTGACCTGAAGAGCTTTTATTTGGCTCCTGAGGTCTAACATATTCAAACCTCCGGATGTGAAAATATTAGATGTAATTTGTCTTGACACTAGTTGAGTTTTATTATTCCAAATGAATTTCCATATTATAGATTCTAATTTTCGAACGAAGTTTCCTGGCATAATTTCAAAATTGGCAATGTGCCACACTTTGGATAACATTAATGATTTGACAATAATAATTTTTCCTATCATTGATAACTTCCGTCCCTGCCATAAATTTACTACATTTTGAATTGAGTTAATGATTTTCAACCAGTTTTTATCTCTTGATACAACATTGTTTCCTATATAAGCTCCTAGAATTTTAAGCTCTTCTTGAATTTGAATACCCTTGTATGAAGGTCCTAAGTTTAGCCGTTTTGCTGACCCACACAACATTATGTTGCATTTTGGAATATTTATTCTCAAGCCTGTAGCTTTTTCAAATTCTGCCATTAATTTTAATACTTCATCTATGGAGGATAAACTTTCTACTGTGACAATAGTGTCATCCGCAAAACCTTTATATTTCTCTCTATCTCCTGCACAATTTTGAAAACCTATTATTGCTCTATTGTATCTGATGCTGGATGCTAACAATTCGGACATTATAATATATAAAAGTGGGGCAAGGGGGCAACCTTGTCTAACTCCTCGTGTTATACTAAATTGCTTTGATAAAAATCCATTTGTTATTATTTTTGCATTGGTGTTGTTAAATAGGGTATTGACCCATCGAATGAAATAATTACCAAAATTAACTTTTTTTAATATTCTTAGTAACAAAACTCTATCAACAGTATCGTAAGCCTTTTCTTGGTCTATACTAAAAATTATTAACGGTTGGTTTTGTTTATTCGCCCAAAAAATGTCATCTCTTATTGTTAATAAATTTTCATGAATCGTTCTTCCTTCAATAAATCCTGTTTGGTCATGATTTATTATATCAGGCAGTACTGCTTTCATTCTCAAAGCTAAAACTTTTGCGATTAATTTATATTCGAAATTAAGTAGAGTAATAGGTCTCCAATTTTTTATATCATTTTTATCTCCTTTTTTATAAAGTAAAGTTATTACACCAAGACTTGTGTTCTGAGACAGACATGATTGTTTATGATAACTATTATAGATTAGTAAGAGAATTGGGCGCAATTGTTTCCAAAATTTGACATAAAACTCTTTTGTTAAACCATCTAGGCCGGGGGATTTATTTAACTTCATTTGTTTGAACGCATTTTCCAATTCCTCTTCTGTTAATTCGTTATCCATTTCTTGTTTTTGCTCATCTGACACTTTTTGCTGATAATTATTTAATAAATAATTTTGAATATTAACGTCCAAATTTTCATCACTTTGATACAGATTTTTATAAAATTGGACCTGTTCTTCCTGAATTTCTTTACATGTATAAACTAAAGAGTTGTCAGATTTCCTCAAAGATTTGAACATTTTTGCTTTACCTTTAGATTTCTCTAAATTCAAAAAATATTTATTCGATTTTTCCCCTTTTTCCGCCCAATTAACTCTAGCCCTAATTATTGCCCCCTTGGATTTTTGTTCATAATACTCCTTAATTTCTAATTCTGTATCATGTATTGCTTGAAGAGTGTCCTCATCCTCTATATTATCTTGCATTTCCCTGTATGCTTCTCTATATTTTACTAGTAATTTATCTTCCCTTTGATTATCTGATTCTTTTTTTATTTTACTACAATGGATTGCCCATATTTTTATTTTGGATTTACATGTGTCCCAAAAAGCTCCTTTTTCTGCATCATCCAAGTTACATAATTTAAAATGCCATGCCTGTAGTATTGATTCAATTCCCAGGATAAAATACTCAAATTCAATCAGTTGTGCATTAAATTTCCAATAACCCGGTCCTCTTTTTACATTTTTAAAGGATGAAGTAACAATTTGAAATGGATAGTGGTCAGAAAAGGTGGCCATTTCAACATCTGTTCTAATAACATTATAGATTTGATTTGAAGATAAATACCATCTATCTAAACGACTCTGGGCCATTCGCGAACAGCCTCTTTTTTGTTTCCATGTATATACTTTAGAATTTAAATTTAAATGACGCCAATATCACAAGATTCCATTTATCTATAATTTCCTCCAATTTTACAATACTATTATCTCTTCTGAAATTTTGTTCCGGGTATTTATCTAGTTTATCTAACACGCAATTAAAGTCACCTCCCAGCCAAATTTGATATAGTGGAGTTGTTAACAAACTTATATAAAATTCAATTTTACTATCAATAAACTCAAAAAATTCTTTTCTATCCCTACAAGAATTTGGTGCATATATATTTATTAACATATGGAGAGATTCAGATGATTGCCAAGTCAAAATTATATATCTACCATTTATGTCAATTTCTTTAATAAATAAGTCTGAATCCATTTTACTTGAAAATAAAATTGCTACACCACATGTTATATTAGAACTTACGACCAAAATGCGTTATTCCCCCATTCCTTTGTCCATCGTCTGCTTCTTCATCTGACCCACAATGCGTTTCTTGCAGGCAAATTATGTCTGATTTTCCCCTTTTTAAAAATTCAAAAATTGATTTTCGTTTAGCCATGTTTCGAATTCCCTTAACGTTATAAGTTAAAACCTTTACTCCCTCTTTAAAATGCATGATGTGTATCCTGTATGAAGAAAAAGAAAACTATGATAATATCTCCCTATGAAAGCAAAAATACTTCACTTCTAATACGAGCTAATGTGGGCTATCAAATTGCATGTATCAGTGTAGTTGAGTTTCAACTTCCAGTTTTATCCAATGCATGTTGGTATTTTTTCACATGCTTCTTGGCTATTGGAGGGCTGTCGTCTGTCGCCCTTTTTAGCTTTGGTTCTCTAAGTGTCACATATTCGTTTATATTTTCGATGACTACTTCCGCTCCTGTTGCACTAAGATGCATCATATCATCTAAATAATAGCTGTCCATGATTTTTTCTTCTGAGAAAGAATCTGGTTTTGGGACAAATACTACTCCTTGTTTCAGTGCTTCTTTTTCAAGTTGTTTGTTAATCCTGTCACAACCATATTTACCAGCACTTCTTCCATGAATTGGTATGATGCCACAGATATAAACATTGTCACTATATTCCCTTGCTTTGTGTATCATTTCCCGTATATCTTGTTTAATTTCGTCGTCTGTTTTATGGGTATCGTTTGTACCTGCATAAACAACAATTTTTCCAAATTTCCTTTGTTCATTTTCTATTTCGAAGGTTATGCGTTCAAAAGTTCCTCCTGAGTAAGTTCTTTTTATAATCTTTTTGTTTTTAATTTTTCTTTGCATGTGCGCCATCTGGGAGTCGCCAATGAGTAGAATTTCAT